GCTAACTTTAGACTTAGAGCAGATTCAAAGCAGGCTGGTTGCCCCGGGAGACAATACACAAGGTCATTTTCCCAGGTGGTATTTTACTGATTCAAGGCAGTGTCTTTAGTCTGCATTTACTCCCTACCACTCAAGGTCCAGCTAATTGTTATTAAGTCATGAATTCCAATGTCATTTTTTATCTGGGAACCCTCACCAACTTAGAGCTACATGCATGGGTCACTGTGACATCACAGGCCTAAGAGAAACTACGTGACTTACCATGTCTTAGGAGAATGGGTCGGGCCCTGAAAAGGTAACTTATAATTGTGCAGAGTTTTTGTTGGAAGGGAAGAGCAGAGGCAGCAGAGAGCAGTGGTGGTGTAGAGAGCAAAGGAAAAGGATGTAGAGATAATTAGGAAGTTGTGTACAGGAGAAAATTTTAAGATGCAATAATAAAGTTACATTCAGATCATGTGACCCTTTTTTTTTTCTTTTTCCTAAAGGCCTTTTTAGATAAGATTTTTTTCCTGGCATCTGGCGGCATTGCCATCCCTGACTTCAAGCTCTATTATCTCTATAGTAATGAAAACAGCTTGGTATTGGCATAAAAACAGACAGGTGAACCGCTGACATTAACCCATACACCTAATTTTTGACAAAGAAACTAAAAATAAAAAATGGAAAAATGAAAGCATCTTCAACAAATGATACTGGGATAGCTGGATAATGACATGTAGAAGACTGCAGATAGATCCATATCTTTCACCTTGCACAAAACTCAAGTCCAAATGGATCAAAGACTTCAACATAAATCCATCCCTACTGAACCTCATAGGAGAGAAAGTGGGAAGTACCCTTGAACACACTGGCACAGGAGACCACTTCCTAAATACAATGCCAATAGCACAGACACTGAGAGCAACAATTAATAAATGGGACCTCTTGAAACCAAGAAGCTTCTATATAGCAAAGGACACAGTCAACAAGACAAAATGGCTGCCTACAGAATGGGAAAAGATCTTCACCAACCCCACATCTGATAGAGGGCTGATCTCCAAAATATACAAATAACTCAAGAAACTAGACATCAAACTACCAAATAATTTAAATAAAAAATGGGGTACAGATCTAAACAGAGAACTATTAACAAAGGAATCTCAAGTGGCCAAAGACACTTAAGGAAATGTTCAACATTCTTAGTTATCAGGGAAATACAAATCAAAACAACTCTGAGATACCATTTTACACCAATCAAAAACACTAATAGCAGCTTATGCTGGAGAGGTTGTGGATAAGGGGTACTCCACTGATGGTGGGAGTGCAAACTTGTACAGCTGCTATGGAAATCAGTATGGCGATTTTTCAGAAAGTTAGGAATCAATCTACCTCAAGACCATGTAATGTCATTGTTGGGCATATACCCAAAGGAGGCACACTCACACAAGGACATTTGCTCAACTATATTCATAGTAACATTATTCATAATAGCTAGAACTTGGAAACAACCTAGATACCCCTCAACCAAAGAATGGATAAGGAAAATGTGGTACATTTACACAATGGAGTACTACTCAGCACTAAGAAACAATGACATCTTTAAATTTGCAGGCAAATGGACGGGACTAGAAAAAACCATCCTAAGTGAGGCAACCCAGACCCAGAAAGACAAATATAGTAGGTACTCACTTATAAGTGAATAACAGACATAAAGCAAAGTATAACCAGCCTATAATGCACAACCCCAGAGAAGCTAAATCCCTCAACCAGAAACAGATGGAAGTAGATGCAGCAATCTACAATTAACCATTGGGTCGAGTTCCTGGAATACAATTGAAGTGAGGCAGGAGTGATAATATGAACAAAAGAGTCAAGACCATGATGGGGAAACCCACAGAATCAGCTGGCCCGAGCTACTGAGAGATCACAGACTCCACACTGATATCTGGGGAACCAGCTTAGGACCGAACTAGGCCTCCTGAATATAGGTGACAATGGTGTGGCTTGGGCAGTATATGAGACCACTGGCAATGGGACCAAGATCTAACTATAAGATATAAACAGTTTGTGGAGCCCATGCTCTATGGAGAGATACCTTGGCTCAGCTTAGACACAGTTGGGGGGGTGGGGCAGGGGACTTGGTCCTGACTCAATGATGGGACAGACTTAGTTGACTTCCTAGGGGAGGTCTTACCCTCTGAGGAGCAGATGGGAGGGGGGGGAGGAAGGAGAGAAAGGAGGGGGAACTGGGATTGGAATGTAATAAATAAATAAACAAACAAATAAACATTTTTCCCCCTAAGCCTCTGCTACTCTGAGGCTTTCTTTTTATTACCCTGGAGCAGATCTGGGAACTGGCCTTCCATGGTCTGTGTCAGTTTCAGATAAATAGAAATACTTTTAAAAGTACCCTGGCCGGGTGATGGCTCAGCAAATGAAGGCACTTGCTTCCAAGCCTGGTGAACTGAGTTCCATTCCTGAAGCCCAAATGGCAGAAATAACTCCCAAAGAATTTTCCTCTGATGGCCACAAAAGGAGGTGGGGGACAAAAGCTTATCGTGAGAGGAAGGTAAACCAGTGCTGGGGCTGAGAGATGGCAGGGGCTGAGCACACCGGCGTGCATGCGACAGATGGGGCGTGGGAGAGCAAACTGGGAAGCAGGTATATGGCTCTGAAGAAGAGGGCAGGCACAGGCACCACACCCACAGTGACGAGGCCAGGTGGAGATTCAGAGGGTGCACCACTGAAGCACAACCCTGGCCATCCCCAGACATGGGAGACAGCTGCTGGACACAGCCAGCCCTGCAGGGACAGGAGTGCATGCAGGCTTCACACAAGTCCTAGACATGTGTGGCTGGGTCCAATGGCTTAAGGGGTGACCTGGGTCTCGGGACCTCGATGGCCAGCTCCATTTCCTGTGTCCCCATTCCAGTCCCGCCAAAGGCTAGGAAGGAACCAGAAGCCATCACTGCCATTAAAGCTTTACAGGGACTGGAGATACAGCTCCGTAGCTAAGAGCACTCCTGCTTTTCAGGACCATTGCCTGCAGCTACATGGTGGCACAAAGCCATCTGTAACACCAGTTCCAGGGGATTTGACACCCTCTTCTGGCCTCCATGGACATCAGGTCATATATGCAGACAAAACATCCACACACATAAAATAATGAAAAGCTGTCCAAGTATGATGGGATGAGAGGATTCCCAATCTGTAACAATACCATTGCTGTTTTTACATGGCCAAGTCTTGGGTTCAAACAATGGAACACAGAATGGCATCACTGGCATATGGCATAGGTAATGACTCTAAATGCTGCCTGCCTATGAAGTACTCACCAGATGATCCCTTGAGCTCAGGCCACGCTGGCCTTCCAGAACATCAAAGGCCAGGCAGGAGGAGACTGGGAGGGAAGAACACATGGGGCCCTTAGCTCAACTGACTCCATGACGGAAGTATCATGTAGGCCGTAAAACTCTGCATGGAGCAGCATCACCTGCAAAAACAAAAACAAAGACCTAATCTATCAAAGTCCATAGTTCTGAAAAGTCTATAAATGCACTAACCTTGCTTTTTGGCTTCCATAGTTCCACTTCTGGCTAACTGTCCTTGTTAACTAAAGTCTGTCAACCCAGAACACGGTTTTTATGTTTAAAAGCTCACCCTGAAAGAGGCTCAGTGCTACAACGGGATGCTGAGTGCCCAGTGCAGTCCACCAGGCCAGCTAGTAGACTTTTTGTTGGCTTAAGCCCATGTCCGAGTGGTCTTCTCTGGTGATGCCCCACAAGAGGGTCCTCTGCAGAGGAGAGCGGACTGTTGGCCTCTGGAGGTCTCTAGGTTTGTCTCTGTTTTGGAGATAGGCTACGTCACCCAGGCTGCCTTTGGGCTTGCAATCCTCTTGCCTTAGCATTCTAAATACTGGGATTATCAGCACAAGCCAGCGTACTTGGCAACATTTAGGTCTGAAGAATGGAAGGGGCTCAAAGGCTCCAGTGAAGGTTGAAGAGCCAATCGGACAAGGACGAAAAAGCTCTGCACTAAGGCTTGCTCTTTGAGTCCACAGGAAGGCTTGTGGGCTAAACAGAATAAACCAACAAAATGCAAAAAACCTAAGCTTTTAATCCAAATACAACCCCTATCTGCAGTTATTTTGCGAGGCCACTGTTCATCCGCTTGTCTCTGTCTAAATAGACATGCTGAAATCTTGTTAGCCACAAACATCAATGTAGAGCTTGATGAACCAATCCTATAAGCCAAATGCTCCCTTCTCACCAATGAAGTCCCTTTGAGAACCTGGCACTGGTGGCCCGAGGTCATCTGTCTACCTTGGATAGCACAGTTCAACATTGACACATTCCATCTTCTGAAAGTAAGTCAAATACTTCCCAGGATACTGGTCACCCAGAGTCCCAATTTTAGATGTTATTTTTGTCGTTTTAGACAAAGTCTCTCCTATCTCAGACTCACAATACCCCTCAATTTGAGCTTGGACTTCTGATTTTCTGACCTTCTACCCCATCTGCCAGGATCATGAGGGTGTCCCTCCATGCCACACTTATGGAGTGCTGGGCGTTGAACTCAGGGCTCCATTCATGCCAGGCAGATGCTCTACCCCCAGCCCTTAGACACACTTCTAAAGAAAAAAATTCTTGGCCCACTATTCCAAGCACAAGCTGTGGACCTACCATGCCTAGACAATTTCCTGGGCACCTTGGATGTACCTCGATCGCAGGGGGTTTTACAGTGTGGACCAGCAAAGTTCACTGTGCCCACAAATCATTCTTGTTATGTCAACGTAATTCAATTTATGAAAAAAATACAATGAAAACTGTTTTGCAATTTTTTTTCCTGAAAAATGACTAACTAAAGCCCAGACCCTTGAAGGTGTGAAATGAAGCTAAACATCTGAAGTGTCAACTTGTCCCTAGGAACTCGAGTGTCACTCCAAGATGTGTGACAATCTGAAAATCTCACTTAGTGTGAAAAGCCAGCTTGGTGGTACAAGCTTTACAGAATCAGTCATCCACAAGGCATGTTTTTGTTTTTAATTTTTTCTTTGATAAATCAATTGCTTCACAAAAATCCTTTTAAAGACAACAATCCGAGAAAACACATTGTTACAGTATTCACATTTTAAAGATTGTCAGTTTCAAAGACCGAACTTAACTGAAAAAAGGCAGACTGCCGAGTTCCATGGCTACCTGTGGGCGAAGCCTTCAGGATGGGCACTCCCTGCCAGCATGTGGGAGCTAGGCAGAGAGGAGCACGTCCTCGGGCAGCCCACACAGGTGCGCAGGCCACTCAGCAGGCTACACAGTGGCCCATCAGCCCTAGCCAGAAGGGCCACAGTGCACATTGCATATACACTTCTACTTGACAATCTGGACTCAAAAAGGAGAAAACTGAGCCCACCAGATGGGTGGTCAGCCAGTCTAGATTTCTGCGAGGCAGCCAAACAGCAGGAATGACACAGGTTGACTGTAGGTCTCAGAACACATTCAAAAGGCTCCAATGTTAGAAAGGACTTTAACAGGAACGAAAGCTGAAATCTGACCATTTAAACAAAGCTCAAAGGAGATGGACTTCCAGATTTTCTCCACAGGCCAAGAAAAGGAGAGCAGGAGTTTTGCTTGGGTTTTTGAGACAGGGTTTCACTGTGCACCAGAGACTGGTCTCAACCTTGCAGCAATCCTCCTGTTTTAGCCTCCTAAGTGCTTGTATTCCAGGCACGTGCCAAAATGCCCAGGAAGCAGGTGTCTTGAAGGTGCAACTGACAGACAACAAATACGCTGGGCAGTAATTCTATGAACCAGAATGGCTTGCTCATGGGAGTTACTTAAAAGCATCTCAGTATGCATGGGAGGTGGACGGAAACATAGGCTATGACTCTGAGCTAGCTCTCTTACCATCTTTTTTCTGGACGGGGTCAGGTTATCTAGCCCAGGCTTGCCTCCTGTCTCGAGTTCCTGAGTATTGGGATTACAGGAGTGTGCCACTATGCCCAGGTTCTCTTAGGATCTTCATGCCATCCCTTTGAATTTAGCAGGTGAGAGTTCAGGGTTAGGAAAGCTGATTTCCACTGGGAAGGGCATGCTACATCATGGTGTTCAAGTCCCAGCTAGAGCAGCCACCAGGATGACATGAGCAGGCCAGCAGGGACTATCTTCCTTTGGGAAGAGTGACAGACCTCTGAAGGAGCTCACAGGGGCCATTCTTTTGTATACCGGACTTAAAACATTCAAACACCAGGTAAATAAGTAATGGGAAGTCTGCTTAAAACATTTTGTTGTTTTGGTTTTTGTAGTGCAGGCTCCTTAAATGGTTTGAAAGGAGACCCCATTCTTTTTGTTGACTACTTGGCTGTCCAGGTATGCTCCATGACTGAACGGAATCAAGACATGGGGGCGGCGGTGGGGGGGGGGTTGCTTACCATCTGCGATAATGCAGCTGCTGCAAACAAAGCAGGGAACTTGTTTTCAGAGAAAAAGCCTCCCAAGTAAACCAAAAGCAAACCTCAAACCTCAGCCTACAGTCTGCTCTGTCTTGACACCAGGAAATGAAGGCCCCAAACTGTCCTAAACTGTGAGTGGTAACTGGAAGGGGAGGACCCTGAAAATGGAAGCAGCAACATGCAACAAGAGTGTGTGACACCAAGAGAGCCACATATGCCTGTGAGCCAGCAGTGAGCCCACTGAAACACCTCCAGGGTTCTAACTTCCAGGTGTCTACCCATTATGTAAGACAGTTTGGGTGTTTGATATTTACCCCAGCTCTGAGCCAGTGGGGTAGAGCACATTTTATATTAGTTTATAATAAACATTCTATGTATAACATGTTTTAACTAAAAAAAAAAAATCTAAAATTACCACCCAGTTAACATGGCCAGGCAGCCATGTAACTGCAGTCAGGTTTGAATTAGGCTGGACTAGGCATGGCAGAGAGCTATGACACAATAAGGGCACTGCATGGTAGCTGCCCTTACTTACCATACATCCTACTGAGTACACTCTGTAAGATGCCTAGATCAAGTGTAAAATGCAATATGAGTATCACATATGAACACAAAACTGGAGATATCAAAAGTTCACTTGACGGTTGTTTCCTTTTAGCAGTTATGGTGAACCTCCTCCCCCAGGGGAGCAGGAGACCACACATGGGCGGCTGCCTTTCAGAACATTCCAAATCGAGAGACAAGCATGTGCTGTTCCTTCTCTAGAAATTTATCCTCAATATAGTCATAATCCAATTAATAACTGATTTATAAAAATAGTTTTTTATCCAATAATCCCAGCAAGGTAAAAATAGGAGTTTCTTTTTCTATATAGCAAATGAAACAGGCAATGCTGCCCAAAGAGAACTGAAGTGTGCTGTGGGCACTCACAGCCCACCAGGGCCGGCGTCCTCTTGCCCTGCAGCCCAAGTTCGGATCACCTTTCAGACCTGTGGGCAACACAAGCAGCAGCCCCAGCCCTGCCGTCGCCCACAGAACTCAACTGCAACTGCGTAATTGTTTAGAAGCTGGCAGTACTGCTCCTTAATCTCGTCAGGGACTCACTCAAGGGGCAGGGGCCACTCATCACATCTCTAGCATTAAAAACCCACGCACGCACATCTGAAGGAAGTTGCTGCACCAGCGAAGACATCTTGAAGCTTGCTGTGAAATACAAAAGTGCACTCTTCTATATCTACATATAAAACATATTACAAAGAAAACTGTGTAAAATGTTTGCTGTGCAAACAATAAAGAGTCAGGTACTCCAGCTCCGCGCTGGCCCTGTTGGCACCGGTCCTACTGCAGGGAGTCGCTGTTCTCCAGCACCAGCCCACTGATGTGTGTCGGTCCCAGTGTGCCCCCATCATCTTCTGTGCTGTCCACCGACTCATCTTCACTCTGCCCCGCCATCATGACCTGCTGTACGGCCAAGGTGGCCCCGTCTGAGGACAGGGACTGAAGGCTGTCCACGTTCATGTTCACAGGTGTGGTGATGGTCACAACGGCACCTGAAGCAGAGCATGGCAGTGTCACTGTCTTCACTAGTACTCAGAGAAAAGCACTTTATGCCCAGACAGGTACTGCCTGCTTGTTCCGTCTACACTGAAGACATCCATGTGTCAGTCAGTCAGTCACTGTACCAAAGGAGGGAAAAATACTCATACTACTTCTGGGAAGGTGAAGTATATACCATCTAAGATAAACTCACACTGTACAGAATCAACAGTATGCAAAGGAAGGGCAGGGATGTGGCAAAAAGAATAACAGAAATAACTCAGCATGAGATGGATGGGAGAGAACGTAAGTGCTAGTGACACTGACTGACTTCTAACAGGGGCAACTGAAGCCTTGAAGAGAGGCAGGGGCTGGGCTGGGATGTGGCTCAGTGGTGGAGTAGCATGTGTGAGGCTAGTGGTTCCATATCCAGCACTCCAAACACAACATTCAACTCCAAAAACAAATGAAAAACGCCAGGATCTGTGCTCCTGCTGACCGTAAATGGCAGGGAAGCTACTTCTGCAGTGTTATCAATGACTGCAGACTGACAACTGAGAAAGAGGGACACAGAAGGCTTCTGTGACAACCCTTCCCATGAGACCCTCCCCTCCAAAAAAAAAAAGTAACAGCCTAGACAGAAAGCCTTGGTTTTTGGAGAGAGGGTTTCTCTGTGTAGCTTTGAAGCCTGACCTGGTACTCACTCTGTGGACCAAGCTGGCCTGGAACTCACAGAGATCCGCCTGCCTCTGTCTCCCGAGTGCCGGGATTAAAGGTGTGTGTGAGCCACCACTGGTACCGCTGAAGAGAACTTTTAAGAATGGAGATAGGAAGCTGAAGTGTAGCATCTACAAGTGATGGCTTCCGGCAGGGGTGCGGCAAGGGAGGACCCAGTTTTCTTTAAGGGGCTGGCCACCAGGGCTTTGACTGTGCTCCAGTAAGTACATAGGCAACACAAATTGGATGTTTTCTTTTTACTTCTTCTTTTGGGGGACAGAGTTTATAAATGTTGCGGTATGGACCTGAGAGGACTGGGAAGTGAGTGTGACGGGGATTCATGATGTGAAATTCCTAAATAATCAATAAAAATATTATGAGGGGAAAAAAAGAAATTAAAAAATTATCCCCCCAAAGCTTCCTAAACACATAGCAGAATATTGCCAAGGGAAAAAAGAAATAATAAGAAGACACAGCTATAGGGGTTGGAAAGGTGGCTCAGAGGTTAAGAATACTGGCTGCTCTTCCAGAGGTCCTGAGTTCAATTCCCAGCAACCAAGTGGTGGCTCACAGCTGTCTATAATGGGTTCTAATACCCTCTTCTGGCCTGCAGGCATACATGCAGGGAGAACACTGTGCACATAATAAACAAACCTTAAAAAACAAGAAGACGACATGGCCATGCCTATACATCTACACTCACACACACACCCAGCTGGAGGCAGTGGCATACACCTCAACTAGGACTGCTGAGAGGCAAGTGCTCAAGTCCGGGAGTTCAAGGCCATCTGAGCAGCATAGTGAGGCCTTGCTCAAAACAAAATCACACACAAACCAACCCAGATTCTGAAGAGTTCGTGCACACAGAGTTGCTGATGACACGTCTAAGAATGGCGGCTGTGACAAGGAGAAGGAAGAGACCAAAAGCAAGAGAGAGGCACACGTGCCAAAGAAAGGCACAGTGTGAGCAGGATGGACTCCGCTGTCTGCTGAAGCTAAGCTGAGAATAAGAGAGAGCACCTCTCCAAGGACACCTCGAGACAGGTGACCCTTCTCATGGCAGCATATCTTAACTGCCCATCACTGTGAGCTTAACAGCCATCCATGGGCGCCTCCTCCTGTTGTACTTATTTTGAAACACTTGTTTATTTGTTTATGCATGGGAGTGTAATGTAATGTGGGCATGGTTGAAGGTCAGAGGACAACTTGCAGGGGTTCTGTCCTCGGTATCAAACTTAGGTTCTTAGGCTTGGTAGCAAGTGCCTTTACCCAATGAGCCAACTTGCCAGCCTTGCGTCATAGATGGAAAGAAAGAGCATCTCAGGCACACAGCTCTAAATGGGCTCACAGCTACAGCAGCTGACCTGACCCATTATTCCCGCCTTTGCCCATCTGAAGTGACGCACCTTCTGACATGGCGAGCTCACTGGATGTTGCTTGTGCCACTCCTGATGCAAGAGAATCCGGCCAAAACCTCTGAACTGGCCTGTTCTGAGCAGGCTTTTTCTTTGTTTTCGGAGTCTCTGAACAGCTGGAATCCAACATTGGCTGGAGAATTCGTCTTCGGGCATTGATGAACCTGCGTGGATAAAGGGATACTCAGGCCAAGGAACTTGTAAAGATTTGGCTCAGGGTACCACCCTTTAGGAACCATGCTGTCAAGAGGAACACGAGTGACAAGCTCCTGAACTATCTAGATTTCCAGACCCAACTCATTTTAAAAATTAATTTAGGGCCAGGTGGTGGTGTATGCTTTTAATCCCAGCAACTGGGAGGCAGAGGCAAGCAGATTTCTGTGAGTTCAAGGCCAGCCTGGTCTACAGAACAAGTTCCAGGACAGCCAGGATTGTTACATAGAGAAACCCAGTCTCAAAAAAAAAAACAAAAAAAAAAAAACAAGCTGGGTGTTGGTGGCACACTCAGGAGGCAGAGGTAGGCCGATCTCTGTGAGTTTGAGACCAGCCTGATCTACAAGAACTAGTTCCAGAACAGCCTCCAAAGCCACAGAGACACCCTGTCTCAAAAACAAACAAACAACAAAAAAAAGAGGGATGTGTCTTTTCAGAAGATGATTTCAAACGAGAAGCTCTGCCTGCACACACCCAGCAGCACAAGACCAGCAAACAAGCAATAATGAAATCTGCAATAGATGTTTCTGCTCTGTGAGATGAAGATCTCACACCTGAGCTATGACCCAGAGAGAGAGAGTGTACCAGCCAAGAATGACCCACTGTTTTCATAACATGCTTGAACCCTTTGTGGGTTTTGCCAGGACTATATTTAAAGGATTTAACAGGAAATAACTCAGCAGTATGGCCTGCTATTTCTACTTAATAAATACTGGCCCAAATGCAAGCAAGTAGGCATGTTTAACGCAACCCTGAAGGATGCCATGTCCTGCATCTATGGTAGAATAAGCAAGCCAACTAATGACACGGCTTACTCTAGAACTGCCACAGGCAAGTAGGACAGTGACAGCACAGCTACAATGTGAAGCTAGGACTGCTTCTGGGTGAGGTGTGTGCTTCCTTTTTGCAAGCTAATTATATGAAGCTAACACCGTTTTCCATCCGAACACAGTGAGATGGAGACAAGAGACTCACCACTGGAGTACATAGCAGCCCCACATGTACAGCACTCGGATGGACGCCGGTTCTCACAACAGGAACATATGCCCAGGACTCAACTATCTCCCACAGTGTGACCCAAGCCTAGCAGAGAGCATTTCACTTGGAAACATGGTGGTCTCTGGATAGGACTTTCTGGAGAACGGCTCTAAGCCCCACCATGCAGAATGACTGACTGCAGGGACACAGGCAAGACTGTCTCCCCAAGCTGCAAGCCTAAAGTGATGGCATGGGTTAGTTTTTGCATTTTTGAGATGGAGGTCTCTCCACAGCTCTGGCCATCTTGGAACTTATTGTGTAGACCAGGCTGTCCTCAAACCACAGAGATCCACCTGCCTCTGCCTCCTGAGTGCTGAGTTAAAGGCGTGCGCCATCACACCTGGCCAAGGCATATATCTAAAGGAGAGAAGAGGGCCCACTAGGTCAGCACACCCACCAGGCAGAAACACGTGCCAATAGGCCCTGACACATGCTGTCCCTGGCTGCAGCGCTCCGACGGCAGCACAGGGCACATAGGGAGCCGGCTCGGCCACAGTAACGGGTGTAGAGACACCACTTGGCATCTTACCAGTTGTTGACTTGGAGCAGTGTCAGATTTGTCTGAGCAGCAATCTGCTTTTTCTCATCCTCTGTTGGGTAGGGATGCTAAAAATAGAGAGGGTTACTGTCACAATGGGATTTGAATTTTAAAAGAGAAACCCAACATTATCTAGGCAAATAAGATGCATCCAAATAAGCAAGAGAAAAAGCTGCTAACAGTAGAGCTTTCAACACAACTAGAGTTTAGTTTCATCTATCATTGGTTTAGAAATGTTCAGATACGAATGAAGGGGGCTGGCTGGGGGTGGGGGTGGCACAGGCCTTTAATCCCAGCACTCAGGATGCAGAGGCAGGTGGATCTTAAGTGAGTTCGAGGTCAGCCTGGTCAACAAAATGAGTTCCAGGACAGTCAGAACGGTTACACAGAGAAACCCTGTCTTGGAAAAAAAACAAAAACAAAAACAAAAAAAAACGAAGCGGGCTAGAGAGATGATGGCTCAGGGTTAAAAGCACTGACTGCTCTTCCAAAGGACCTGGTGTTCAATTTCCAGCACCCACATGGCAGCTCAAAACTGTCTCTAACTCCAGTTCCAGGGGATTTGACACCCTCACACAGACATACATGCAGGCAAAACATCAATGCGCATAAAATAAGAATAAATAAATCATTAAAAAAAAAAACAGGTAAGAATGTTTCTCTGACCAAAAATGTTCAACAGTATAGCAGCTGTCAGTGTGTGGCGAGAATGTGATCAGCGACTAAACAATAAACAAAAAGTGAGGTCAGAAACATAAGCACAGTGCCAGACCATCAGACAGCAGTCACTGCTGCCCCACTGCTTGGAAAACTAGGTGCCGCAAAGAAATGAGGGCAAGAAGGAACAGGAAAACAAGGCAATGTGTCCTCACTGGTCCTTAGGACCAGTGTTTATATTTGAGAAACACTAGCTCATTAAAGGGAAGTGTGATAAGACATGGACACCAGAAAAGGAAAGAGGCGCGCCCAACACAGCACTTCTGTGGGGAACTGTGACCACAGCATCACAGCCATTGCACTGGCCATCACTTCCTGTCCTTTACCTGACACCGCCTGTGCTGGCAGCCCTCACCATCCTGTACACTACTTGTGTGCCTCGCTTTCTGCCTGGGCCACTCATTTTCAACTAAACAAGCCATGTGTTGGCGGTCTTCATTGTGCCCAATTTCCCCATGTGCCTTTCACTCACTGCATCTCACGCTTAGATCCGCCGCACAGACAGTGCTACTTCATCTTTCTCTTCGCCCTCTTCTCCAGTCAGTCCCATCATACAGTAGGGGTTTTCTGACCCAAAGGAGCACAATTGGCAGTAGTTTAGCTGACTCTCTTTCCACCAGTCGGGGGACCCCTGCTGCATTTTCAGTTTCTTCAAGTCATTATCAGGGACCTGTTCTCAAGCCCCACTATGGACACAATATAATACCAAACTTAGAACTGAGACAAATAAACACAAGTCAGTTTCCCTGGGGACACAAGCCAGGAGAGGGTCTCAGGTCATTCATGGTGTATCCCATGCACTCTTACCCCTATGTGCTGAAAGAGCCAGGACCGCATCACATTGGTGGCATGCTTCGGCAGGACGCCCCTCTTGTTCTTGGAGGAGCCATCCTCTTGATGCAAGATGCTGAGGTCTTGATTCAACTGCAGTTGAAGCTTTCATACAATTGACAAACAATGTCAGAGAGGCTTTGAAATGACAACATATCAAGCAGCTTACAACTTTTGAGATGGAGGAGGTACCTAGGCTCTCAGGCTTACTTACCGTAAAGAGGCATGTGTGGAAATCATGTAAAGACCAATCTGATGCTACTATAACATGGTCTACATATTTGGTCTTCATTCCCACTTTTTCAGCATGTAAGCCCTACAATTCTTAGACACTTCAAACTGTTAAGGGATGACTTCCATATGCTGAACTGTGTCAACTGTTGACTGCAGCCCCGAGGCAGGCACTGTTCGCAGGTTAGACTGAGGCAGAATCACAGATCTTTTTTTTTTAATCTTTTTTCTTTTAAGATTTTATTTATTATGTATACAATGTTCTGCCTGCATGTATGCCTGCAGGCCAGAAGTGGGCACCAGATCTCATTATAGATGGCTGTGAGCCACCATGTGGTTGCTGGGAATTGAACTCAGGATCTCTGGAAGAGCAGTCAATGTTCTTAACCTCTGAGCCATCTCTCCAGCCCCAGAACCACAGATGTTAACCATTACAGTGCACCAAAGGGCTAAAGTTTAGGGTGATCGTGGTGAGTTTCAGGTCAGCCAGGGTACAGAATGAAACCTGTCCCAATCCCCCCAAAGCAAAAAAAAAAAAAACAAAAAACAAAAAACTCTTTTAAAACAAGACAAATGGAGTATCTTCTACAGTACCAGTAAGTTGACTTAAATTGTCTTCCCCCCCCAAAAAAAAAAAAAAAAAAAAAAAAAAAAAAAAAAAAAAAGCACAATTCTCTGTGGCGCACACCTTTAATCCCAGCACTTAGAAGCAGAGGCAGGTGAATCTCTGAGTTTGAGGCCAGTCTGGTCTACAGAGTGAGATCCAGGACAGCCAGGTCTATTACACAGAGAAACTATCTTGAAAACCAGAAAACAAACAAACAAACAAAGAAGCATAACTCAATTCTAGAAAACTAGTCAATAATTGGACACGGCTCTTTTGTTACAAATATTGAAATGGAAACCACAAGGGAAGAAAGCTGGTAGGGAGACAAGGGCAGCATTGGTGAGATCCAGCTCTCCCTTATGTGGGCTTGGGCCTGAGAATCACACACTCAGTAAGTCTCTGAAGCCCCCCGCTCACCACCTATGCCAGGGGCACCTGCATCTTTTTCTCTAGTGTTGTCACCAAACCTTCATGGCCAAGATGGCAGCCCCAGACTACTAGACCACTGAGAACCACTGCAGCCCATTTAGATGGCTTTCCTTTAAGACAACAGCCACACCCCAGGCTAGGCATGAGAGTCCTTGATAAGGACATGGACAGAGACCTCACAGAGTGAATCAACATTCACAAAGTAAAACTATACTTTAAACCTTGTCTTCAATTATTCAAAGTAAAAAATTCATGTTTCTAGAACTCAGAGGGTCTTCCAGGCCATGAGACCCAACTTCCCCATTTTCCTTCAAAGGAACAGGAAGACTGCAGAACGACCTTGGCTACAATATGCCAGCGGTCACCTTTTGTTTGAAGAGCAATATACCTGAATGTGGGAGCCAAGAATTGCTTCTGCAGACACCTAGAGCCTGACCTCAACAAAGCACCCCAGTCTCACTGGGGATGGGGTACAGCTTCAGGCTAGGGGTACAGTCTGGGCTTTGTGGTTCTGAAAACTGCCTGGCTGTTCTGCATCTACAGGACTTCAAGTCTTGATGTGCAGATACTGCAGACGGATGCCATGGACATGGCAGCATCTGGGGTTGTGAAAAACTTCCCTGGTGCCTCAGACTGTTCTGAATTTTGTCAATTTCACAGTAAGGGAGAGGAAGCATGAAAAGAAACAAACCGACTAGAGGCTACTTGACAACAAATGACAGTCACAAAGAGGGGCTCCACTGCACCCCCACCTAGGCAGCACTCATCACAAGTCCTAGAGGGCATCACACACCTGGGAGTTCTGGATCCTAATTGTCCCAGGAGACAACGCCTGTGTGACCACTTGACCTTGTGGAGTGACGACGGTGACAGGCTGGTACACTGTGCCACCTCAAAAAGGAAAAGAGAATTTAAATATTAAACTACTTTTAAGTCTTAGTGGTTTACAGACATTCTTCCTGATAGGTTTATGGAAGAAATGAAAAGCCTGTCGGGTGAGCCTTTTAACCATCCCCCCCCCCCCAAGCAAGTCCCAATTTTTTAAAAATTTATTTACTTATTTTTATTACATATACAGTGTTCTGTCTGCATGTATCCCTGCAGGCCAGAAGAGGGCACCAGATCTCATGACAGATGGTTGTGATCCACCATGTGGTTGCTGGGAATTGAACTCAGGACCTCTGGAAAAGCAGCTAGTGATCTTAACCTCTGAGCCATCTCTCCAGCCCCCTTTTAACCATTTCAAATGGTCAACAATACTTTGCAAACTATGTGGTCAGACAAATTATCACACCAATTCTGGCCTGCATGGCACCTGTCCTTGTCACTGGGGACTTGGCAGGTCCCTTTCCTTTTGCTTGTTTCTGCTTTCTTTTTCCTACAGTTAGTACACATCCAACATTTGGCTAAAGAAACTGGATAATGAGCACCTTTATTTTAGTGCCTTGTCTGTCTTTTCTTTCTCGTTTGTTTGTTTGGAGACAAGGTCTCTCTGTGAACCCCTAGCTGTCCTCGAGCTCACTGAGCTCCGCCTGCCTCTGACTCTGGATATATCACCACACTGTGCCCTAGGTATGTTTCTTAGCAACAGTTCTCTTGTTCTGGTAAAGTCCCCTTTGCACTGCTCTGTGAGGCATGGAGAGTGCATGTCTACCACTCTCTACATACCTGTTCCATTTACTGATTTTTATATTTTATATTTGCAATATTTGTATTTTGCAATTTTTATATTTTATAGTTGCAATATTCTACAGAAAATGCTTTACCTGCCCCCTTCCTATAATGGTTTTGTTATAAAAATAATACTAAGAATAAGGCAGTATTTTTCCTTGATTGGCACCACCAATTTCCAGGTCCTGTGAATAGCACAGGTCATTTCCAGGTCCTGTGAATAGCACAATTAAAAGCTATGTTATTTGAGAAGTTTGTAAGATGACTCAGCAGGTAAAGGTGCTTGCTACCAAGCCTGGATAACCCGAGTTTGATGCCCAGAACCCACGTGGTGGGAATAGAACTGACTCCTGCAAGTTGTCCTCTGACCACACCCATACTGTGGTTAATACACGCCCTAGTGCGTACAGGGATGTACCAAGTTACTTGGAATCATAATTAATTTTTGCTGTATCTTTTCTTTCCTTTTCTTCTCTTTCTTTCTTTTTCTTTTTTAAGTTTTTCAACACAGGGTTTCTCTGTGTAACAGTCTTAGCTATCATGGTACTAACTTTGTAGACCAGGCTCTCCTCGAGCTCACAGAGATCCACCTGCCTCTGCCTCCCCAGTGCTGGGATTAAGGATTAAAGGCGTGCGCCACCATTACCCAACTTATTTTCTATTTTTACTTTATTATTTCAAGTGTGTGTGTGGAGGGGGGTATGCACATGAGCACAGGGGCCCACGGGTGGAGTTATAGAAAAGACAGTTGTGAGCAGCCTGATGCAAGTGCTGGGAATCAAACTTGGATCTTCTGGAAGAGCAGTAAGGGCTCTTAATGGTTCAGTCACCTCTCTAGCCCTTGCTACAGTCAATTCCTATATAAAACCTTTCCCCCAAGTGCTTTTGGTAGGAAAACACAATCTGTACAACATACTTGTGGAAAATTATTAAGAAGCAGGTATTTACACTGCTCTGGACTCTAGCATTATTATATCAGTAACTGGCATTGAGTAAAATACAGTGAAATCAAGAAGAAAAAAAAAGCAGATTTTTTTTTTTTTTTTGGTTTTTTTCGAGACAGGGTTTCTCTGTGGCTTTGGAGGCTGTCCTGGAACTACCTCTTGTAGACCAGGCTGGTCTCGAACTCACAGAGATCTGCCTGCCTCTGCCTCCCAAGTGCTGGGATTAAAGGCGTGCGCCACCACCGCCCGGTGAAAAAAAGCAGATGTTAAAAGGCAATTATATATGTGCTTGTTATAAAATATTGGATGTTTTCTGCAAAAGCTCATGGAAAAGGTGTCCATTTTTAGGTGGTCGTACCTGCCACTGTTGCCATGGTTACATTTCCTTGTTGCAGAGCTGATGCTGGCACCACGATTCCCTGGGGGCTGAGAGTGCCTGTGATGGCACTTTGAATCTGCTGAATGTCAGAACACACACATCATGGGAATTATTAGAACATAGAAAAACATGTTCAAAACTTCAAAGGAAGCAATATCATAATGCTGCAGTAAGCAAGGGAGGCCAGGGACACAGAGCAGACCCAGCTGACAAGCTTTCAGAAAGCAAGCGTCCTATATGAGAACTAACTAGAGAGATGCAAAACCAGCCACAGTGGCTATGGTGATCCACACTGTGGTTGTGTGTGCAGTGTGTGGCTGTCCTCTTGCTGTTCAAGTCCAGGAGGTGAGCAGAAAGACCCTGCTTTCGATCACTACTTACTCCTACATTTGGCTTGGGTAATGGTTCTGCATAACCAGACCCCTCCCGACAGGAGGGACACATGCAAGGCTGACACATCAGGTTAGAGGCACCAGAAGTGACCAGGGACAAGAGAAGAAAGTCTGTCCTCACACTTAGTCAGCAATGGATATTATTTCAGCCTGTGCAATGAGACAAGAAAAGGGAAGGAAGGCATGCCCAGAGGGCAGAAAGGGGGCAGACAGAGTTGTTCCTGTTTGTACAGGGCACCAGCAAAAAAGTAAAAACTAAACAGCTTACTCACAACAGAGAAATGAACTCACGAGGTCATTCATAGGCTATGAGAACCAACAACAACTGTCAAAGGGGCTCTGAGGGGCGGCGAAAGGGTGAGGGAGAAACAGAGGGTGATCACTACCAAAGCACCACACACACACACACACACACACACACACACACACACACACACAAAGACAGACACACACACACACAGACACACCCACACACACCCACAGACACACACATACACACACACACACAGACACACACCAGACACACACACACACACACACACAGACACACACATACACACAAACACAGACACACACACACAGACACACACACACACACACACACAGACACACACATACACACAAACACAGACACACACACACAGACACACACACACACACACACACACACACACACACACACACACACACACACACACAGAGCGGAGTGTCAGAATGCCATCCACTGCTTTCTGCAGCTGACATCTGCTCACAGAAACACGTGACTTTGTATGATTTTCTTATGAATGTTTCTATGGCACATTAAAAATGAACTGCTTTTCTGCAGACAAGAAATGAACACAAAACCCAAAAAGTACAATCCAGGGGCTGCAGAGACAGCTCAGCAGTTAAGAGCACATAGAGCTCTTTCAGAGGACCAGGTTTGGTTCCCAGGCACTATATGGCAGCTCACAACTGTAGGAAACTCCAGTTCCAGGGAGTTTGATACCTTCTTCCAGCTACCTCAGGCACTAAACAAGGTACACATACATTCATGAAGGTAACACTCATACATCTAAAACCAAATAAATCTTTAAAACCACAATCCAATTACAGTCATTCAAAGATATCCTTGTGTGTAATTTTGTTTGTCTGTTTGAGATAGGGTCTCACTGTGTAGCGCTGGCTGTCCTAGAACTCTCTATGTATACTAGTCTGACCTGACCTTGAGCTCACAGAGATCTGCCTGCCTCTGCCTCCTGAATGCTGGGATTAAAGACATGTACCTCTACACCTGGCTACTTGTATGTACTTCTGAAGGTGCATGGATCACTATGCTGAACTACAAAGCAGTGATGGAGAAGCCCCGAGATGTAAGTAAATGCAGGCGTGGCACATTTCTAGATTGCAGAGTCATATAGCAAAGATGTCAGTTCCCCTTAACTCATGGAGACGGTTAATGCAATGCTGTCAATACCCACAGTGAAATTTGCTTTGCTCATCTACATAGCATCAGTGACAATTTATATGGAAAGGCAAAGCACTACAAGAGAGCTAAAACCATTCTAAGAAATGAAGTAACAGAGGAAAGCAGTTCTCCAGTGCTGAGACTGCCAGGGGGCTGCCTGGTGGTATAGACACACAGATCAATGGAACAGAACACCAGACAGTGAGGCTCCCGAAACATGCCTGCATGGTTTTGGATAAAAGGGGAAAAGCAGTTTAGCAGAAGGAGAGCAAGAGGTGCTGAAGCAGATGAACATTTGCAAACAATGAGAACTTTCAAAACTCAGAAACTTAAGGAAAATGAAAGTTTAAAAATGAACAAAAGACAGACTTTTCTAGCAAAGATGACACACAGATGGCAGATCAGCACATAAAGGCACCATTTGCTATCAGGGAACTACAAATAAAGTCCACCAGACCTCTGAGGTTAAAATAAAATGCTTCATCCCTGCCTAGGTTTAAGGATGTTCTGAGAAGTGAAATCAGTCAGATGCCGTATGATTTCGCTTCTGTGAGGAACCTAGAGTAGTCAGTTCGCAGAGGTGGAAACAGAACGCACAGGACCAGGGCTGGGGCCAGGGGAGAGTAGGACCGGTTGGTGTTTAACTGGGACAGGACTTCCTTTGGGAAGGTGAGAAAGTGAATAGAGGTGTGGTGTTGACGGCTGCACAACAGTGACAATGCACTTAATGCCACCATCATCAAGGCAACCAGCAGGAGTTAATGCTGCATGATCAATACTACAGCGACCAAGAAGCACAGTGGGCCCCAGAAGCAAGTACCTGGGACTGCACAGGGGAGTATGGGCTCCCAGGCTCGCCACTCAAGAGCGTCTCGCTGTTCATTTTTGTCTTCAGACAAGCAATGTACCGACTACAGAAATCTTTACAGAGTTCATTAACCTTTTCCAGTTCAAGAAGATGAATACGCAGGACCTGGATTGCTTTCACCATCTAGGGGTAGAGAAAATAAGGACTGTTAGGTGAGAAATAACGTGCCCATTATCAGAAGCTACCATTGTCACACACACTGCTCTTAGTTATTAATTAGAAACATCAGCACCAGTAACAGAAGTGGAGCAGCACTAGCAATTTTACAAACAGAGTGTTCCAGCACTCCAGTGTCCCTGCCCCTGCCCAGCTGCATCTGTGCCAGACACAGGAACAAGGTGCCTCCTTCAGCATGTCCATGCTGGGAACATGGCTCAATGCTTGCAGATGATGGGGTTACAACCTCACTCTACCCCAACTCAACATCCACACCTATCCTAGGGGTGGTTCTCGAAGTTCAACCCCCCAGCTCTGCCTTTTCTGGATCATATTTTTGGTGTCAAGGATAAGAACTCTTTGCGGAGCTCTCGACCCCCTAAGTTCTCCTATTATTTCCTCTGTTGTTTACTATCAAGTCACCAAGTGTCGAGGATAGTTGCTCTCTAGCAATGGGTCACTAACAGTGTCATGTCACTGGAACCCCTGGCTGTGAACAAGGCCAGCCCCTTAGTCACAGGCTCGAGTATGAAGTCACCTACATTATTGATGCTGTGAGAGACCAGTCAGTAAGGAGCTACGGAGCACGAGCTCTGCTAGATCCTGTGCTAACATGAGGAGGTGCTGGCAACGTGTAGAGGACGCCTGTCCCCTTGACTGAGTCAGGCCAGGGATGGACCAGGACTCAAAGGGCTTCTGTTCCTTACTCAAATGACAGGCATTTCAGAGACCACAAGGCAGAGTCGAACACAGCCGATCTGTGAAACCTCTCAGGTGGTAAAAACACTGAACACATGACAAGATCAAAAACAGCAGAGCTAAGGCTAGTGCAATTTATCCATGGATAATGAAGACCTGCTGAAGGCTGGGGTCCTCCAGATACTCACAAAGCCCAGAGAACACACCTTACTTACTGTGGTGCTCTGAGCTCATCTGGATCTGGGAAAGTGTCAGACTGGAAGGGCGGACAATGTGGGTGCTCTAGCAAGGACACTGCCACTGCCTGTGTCCTCCGAGACCCTGCCATGGGTTGGACAGGAAGAAGACACAGCAACTGGTGCCAGCCAGCACCAGGAGTGAGGTGATTTGCAGGTGACCATTCAAGCCCGAGCCCGAGCCCGAGCCCGCACTCACAACACAAGGACAACAGACACCCTGCAGAGCAGCCTGCCTCAGGAAGTCTTCATAGACAGCCATGAGAGGACTGAGCCCCAACTCGGAAGCAACACAGATAGATCAGTTACACTGTAAAAGGGAAAATGAGCTAGAAAGTAGAAGCCCAGGAAGGTAAACTGCATGAGCAGAGTTTAAGTCATTAAAAAGAACAAAAGAAAGAAAAAGGAAACAAGGAAACAAAGCATGGGCTTTACTCACTAAGTTGTCAGTTTCCGGATCTTCACAGAAGAACGGCTTCCCATCCTTCTCCTGCTTCCTGACGAAGTTCTCAATGTCCACATCGAAGCTGGCGGACGTTGTGCCTTCTGAGCCCTGTGTGGACTGCTCACATTTCTCAAATAACAAGGCTAGTAATGGGAACAGCGGGTGCCTGTGGGGAGGAGAGCGAGTATGTCACGTCTCTCTAGGGAGGCTTCGGGGTGTGTGCACCAATGAGCCTCCACCCACTGTCAGACACAGACCCATTAAACAGGAAGGGCTGCCTTCTAACTAGAGGCTCTCCTGCCTCAGCCTCCAAGTACTGAAGTTACAGCTATGCATTTTCTGGCCTGTATGAATGATTTTTAAACAGCTAGTTACTTGTTTTCATAAGTTCTTTTTAATTTTTATTCCATGTATGTGCACTATGGAAGTCAGAAGAGGGCATCAGATATCCTGGGAACTAAAGCTGGGTCCTCTGGAAATGTAGCCATGTTCTTTCCTCCTGAGCACTTTCTCTTAATCCACCTATTACACTTGTTTTTTAGTTTGTTTATATGGCATGGCTGCACAGCTACTTTGAGTGGAAGTGTTTCATAAATATACTTTTTGATCAGTCCTGGCTGTCCTGGCACTCACTCTGTAGACCAGGCTGGCTTCAAACTCAGAGATCCATCTGTCTCTGCCTCCCAAGTGCTGGGATTAAAGGCATGTGCCACTACCACCCAGCAAAATATTGATTGGGTTAGCTTTAAGTTATATGAAAATAATTTTTCAAAACTCCTGGTTGTTAATTTTTTCTTGTTATTTGTTTGCTGTTTGTTTTATGACAGAAGGCCTCACTACACAGTCCTTGCTTCACACTCCTCTCGCCACACTTTCTATGGTGTGGGATTATAGCACATACCACCACGCCTGTATTGTTAGCTGTGAACTACCCAACAATAAAACGGACTATTCTTGGCACTTAGATCCTTTTATGTGTGTCTAGTCACATCAGGGCCCCAAACCTCTTTTTCTCCCTTGGGTGCATGCTGGAATCCCTAGCCCCAACAGGGGTCACCATGATCAAACATTTTCTCTTGGTGTTATGTAAAGGCAATTATACAAAATGCAGGCCTTCTGAGAAGAGCTTCCTCCATCAGCATAAGACAGCTGGGATTCACCTAAGATGTTGCATGCAGCCATATTCCTTCCTTCTATTGCTGAGTGGCTTTTATACACTGTATGGACTCACCACTGTCTGAGAAACTAGAGGCTGCTTCTAGTCTGAAAATCATGAGTGAGGCTTCTAACATACTGTGCACAGCTAGATCTGCATCTCCATGCCTGTGCATAGTGCTCTGACAGCTGAACCGAGAAGGCACGGCCGGGTGTGGGGGCACATCTTTGATCCTAGCAGCTGGGAGGCAGAGACAGGCAGATCTCTATGAGTTCAAGGCCAGCTCCATCTACAAAGTGAGTTCCAGGACTATAAAGAAAGATCCTGTGTCTCAAAAAAATAAAAATAAGAAAGAAAAAGGAAGAAAAACAAAGGAAAAAAAAACAAAAAAAAAGGATGAAGCAGCCCAAATAGATAATTATACACAGTGAAATATTCTTCAGTTTCAAAAAGGAGCAAAGCCCCAGCAGATTCCATATTGCAGATTCACGTTTAAAACACTTTGTGAGAAGCCAGGAAAGAAAAGATTTCAAGCAGATATTATGTAACTGAAGTGAGTCCTCACTCAGATATCTGGGTAGCTGAGGTCCAGACAGCAGGACATGACCTCACTCAGGAGATACCTGGGTAGCCGAGGTCTACAGAGCAAAATGACAATTTCTAGAGATGCATATTGGAGGTCAGAGTACAATTTTGTAGACCTCTCTCCATTTTCTGTGGGTTCCAGAAATCAAACTCAGGTCATGTTTTACACGGCAAGTGTTTTCCTTCCTGGCTCATCTCAAGACCCTCTCTCCCTTTTAGAGTCTTGTTATGTAGCCCAGGCTGGTCTGCAACTGGCTTTGAATTCTCTATCCCCAGTGCTGATATCCCAAGTGTGCATAGCCATGCCTGCCCTGATGATTTTCTGAAAGGTTACCCAAAGCGTAGATTTATATTATAAAACCTTTTCTTTTATTATTAGAGGTAACATCTCAATCTGAAAAGGTTTCCCCAATAGTTGCAGTATCCCAATGGTACATCCCAGCTCAGTATAGCACGCAGCCCTGGGTTGCCCTTCATGTTTGCATTCTCCCTGGTCCTCTAAAACCCACAAACTCCACACCGGGCACTACCTATAAATGGCCTGCTTGTCAGCATCCATTGGGGTCTGGGACTCGATGGGAGGAGGACTCACTCCTTCTGCATCTGGGTCAGAGCAGTTGGGATCTTGCTCTGTTTTTAACTCCGTTACCACCTGCATCTGCAAAGGAGAAATTTTGTTACAAAAGACAAAATATAAAGCACTACTGCAGCTGGAAGATTATATAATTGCCAATAACAACACAAAGAACACTAGCAGTAAAACTCCTTTGAATCTCTCAAGTTCTACCAGTAGACAACATAAAAGCCAAATTTCTAACCAGCCAAATTTAATCCAGCACGCAGAAGGCAGGACCAGGAGAGTCTCTGTGAGTCAGAGTCCAACCTGGTCTACAAAGCACATGCCAGGACAGCCAGGACTGTTAAACACAGAAACCCTGTCCTCAGAAAACCACACACACAACAAAACAACACAAACGCACAACAACAAAAAGAACTGAGAGGACTTAAAGCCCCGTGGCTATGAATCACTGACGGGAACTGCAGTGCAAGCTGACTTTTCCAGCCCCGCAGCTCCCCATGAGTAACTTAGTAGGAGAGTGTCACACAAACAACTCAAGTGCAACACTACAACTTTGTGGCAGGGCTCAAGTTCTCCCTCAGCTGCCCTTCACCATTATGCAAGAAAGAGCATGGCCGGAAGTACAGCTCATGTGCTGTAAGCATGTGGAATAATGACACTGGGAAGGGAAGAATATATTTCAAAGAAAGAAGAAGCAATGTAAGGGGAATAGACGTTAAAAAATAGACATGGAACTTTTGTTGTTTTTTTTGTTTGTTTGCTTTGTTTTGTTTTTTGAGACAGGGTTTCTCTGTGTAGCTTTGGAGCCTATCCTGGCACTTGCTCTGGAGACCAGGCTGGCCTCGAACTCACAGAGATCCGCCTGCCTCTGCCTCCCGAGTGCTGGTATTAAAGGCGTGAGCCACCAACGCCCAGCCGACAAGGAGGTTTTAAGCAGTCTGTTGGCCAATAGGCTGGGGCATAATGGATGGTACGCGTGATCAGGGTACTCATATGGCAGTGTCATAGCAAAGCACATTGTTTTGTAAAATTAATACACAGTAATAAAATTAGCTCATCTCTATCCTCAAATAATAATAATAATAATAATAATAATAATAATAATAATAATAAAGCCCCTAATCAGGCATGATGGCCCACATCTTTAATCCCAGCACTTAGGGGACAGAGGTGTAGCTGGAGTTTCTTGTCCTGCCAGGTCCCGCTGTCCTTCAGCCCCAATGGACTGAATGGACATGGACGCTGTATTAATTATAAAACATGTTGGCCAATGGCTAGGGCTTCTTATTGGCTAGCTCTCTCTTAATTATTAACCCATTTCTATTATCTATGTATTTCCACATGGTCTTGGCTTACTGGAGAATGCCAGGACCTGTTACTCCTTTAGCAGCTACATGGCGTCTCTTCATGGTCTCTCTCTGCCCACCTTTTCCAGAATTTTCCTAGTCTCTTAGTCCCACCTATCTTCCTGCCTCTTATTGGCCAAAGGGTGTTTTATTCATCAACCAATAAGAGAAACATATATACAGAAGGACGTCCCCCATCACAGAGGCAGGTAAATCACTGTGAGTTCAAGGCTGGCCTGGTCTACATAGTGAGCTCCAGAGAAACCAGTGATGCAAAGATATATATATATATATATATATATATATATAGAGAGAGAGAGAGAGAGAGAGAATCTGTCTCAGAAAAACTAACTAAGCAATGAAAGACTAACCAAACACAATCCTCTTAAAGGTGATCTGACTGTATGTATAAAAAAGCATTACAAGACTATTTAATCAGGGTGGTGGTGGTACACACCTTTAATCCCAGCACTAGGGAGGCAGAGGCAGGTTCGAGACCAGCCTGGTCTACAGAGTGAGTTCCAGGACAGGCTCCAAAGCCACAGAGAAGCCCTGTCTAGAACCCCCCCCCCAAAAAAAAAAAAGTTTGAGTCTTCTGCTAAATTGTCCACATAGGGGACATGGAATATCCCTGAAAGAACATCAGGCCCTGCCTGCTACAAGAGGCTGTCACTGCTCCTCCTGATGTGGGGATGCACACAGGAGGCAGGTAGAGGGCTAGTGTGAATAAAGACCTACAGGACAAGAGGGAAAGAGCAACTGGAACAGCCACAGGCAGAGCCTCTAGGTAAAGAGATGCACAAGTATGCCATGTGCTGCTGGATGGCCTGAGAGTCCATCAGGGCATGCCAGCACGGAGCTGGGGCAGTTTGGACCTTTCCTGATACCTACAGGGAGCCTCTCCAGGGCTCAGGGAGAAGATATGTTAATAGATTTGCATTTTAAGAAAAAAGAAGGATCACTCAGAGCTGGCTGTGGTGGCACATCCCCTATAGTTTTAGTCCTCAGGAGGAAGGCAGAAAGATTAGGAATTAAAGGGTCATCCTCAGCTACTGAGAAGGTTTGAGGCTAGCCTGGCTATGCTACAGGAGCCTCTCTCTCAGGACAATAACAAAGGAAGTGAGGAAAGCATCAGGGAAGGAAGAGCAGGAGGAGAAAGAAAGGGAGAGAAGGGCAGGGCAGAGGAAGGGGGAGCAAAGGGGATGAAAAAGAAAAAAGCCTAAGGCAGATTCAAACTAGCAAAAACACTAAGCAAAAACAAATATCTGCAACCAGACACAAATGGTACAAAACTGGTCTTCAAGGAAGGAGACAGAGCTTGCTTCAGCTCCCAGCCACCTTGACACCTCCCCTCCCCTCCCCCCAGTCCTCAGGCTAGGGGAAAGGGGCTCTGTAGTACAACTCTACCAAGTTGGAACACGGAGCACCTGGGAAACACTCAGCAGGGACCCCAGGTATAAGGGGGGGGGGCAGCACCTCAGCTGAGCTTCCCTTGAGCGGCTGTGAGTGCACATGTCACACCTGTAAGAACACTAGACAGCCTCTGTGAGAGGACCATCGGGAAGGACTCTCATCATAACACGGCCGCCCAAGCACACACAAGGCGGACCGGTCTACAGTGAAACTCCACTAAGGGCATTACTGGGACAGTACCATCCAATGCTGACCACCATAGAACTCCCATCATTTTATTTTGGTTTACTTGGATTTTAAAAATTACGTGTATATGTGCTAGTGGGAAGGTATATACATGCATGAGTACAGGTGCCCTTGAGGTCCAAAGAGCACACCAGAGGCCCTGGAACTGCAGTTACAGGCAGTTGTAAGTTGGCAGGGGTTCTAGAAACTGAACTCAGATGCTCTGTAAGAGAAGCATTCAATGCTAGTATTCAATCCCAATGCTGCGCCATCTCTCCAGACCCAGGATTCCCTACCTGTAATCTCATACTCAGGAGGCTGAGGCAGCTCTGGCACAAGTTCAAGAATAGACTGGCTTATAGCATGAGACCCTGTCCACCCACCCCTACCCCCCAAAAAAGAAAAAGAAATACAGGGGTTAGCTAGATGGCTCAATAGGTAAAGGCACTTGCTCCAAGATTGCTAACTTGGGTTCAGACCCTGGCACCCACACAGCGGAAGGAGAGAGCGGACTCTTGCCAGTTGTCCTCTGACCCCCACACCTGTACTTCAGTACACGTGCACCTGTACACAACAACAACAACAACAAACATCATCAAAAAAAAAAAAAAAAAAAAAAAAAAAAAAAAAAAAAAAAAACCAGAGCCAGGCAATGATGTACATTTGAGCCCCAGCACTTAGGACAGAAAGACAGTTGGACTGTGAGTTCAAGGCCAGTCTAGGCTATGCACAAAGACTCTGTCTCAAAACCAAACAACAAAACCTCTAGAACACCCAGCTTAAGGGGCCCAGCAGTAAAGTGCTTGTCAAGCATGAGACCCTGAACTCAACCATTAAAGTTCTGTCTCAAATTATTCTACACACACACACACACACACACACACTCTCACTCACTCACTCACTCACTCACGGTACACACACACACACACACACACACACACACACACACACACTCACTCGTGGTGCAAACAGACACACACACACACACACACACACACACACACAGCTTTTCTTTCCCTTCTGTCTTCCCTGTGCCGGAGATCAACCCAAATGCTTCACAAATGCTAAGCAAGTGTCCAGTTTTGGTTTTTGTTTCTCTGTATGGCCTTGGCTGTCCTGGAACTCTGCAGAGCAGGCTGGCCCCTGAACCCTGAAATCTTCCTCCTCTGCCTCATCTCCCAAGTGCTGGGATTAAAAGCGTGTACCACCACCACCCCAAAAGTGGCACATGCTTGCATGTACCCATGCATCCGTGCACAATACAATACTCTAAAAATGGTTTGGTGGCTGTGCAGGAGGAGGTGTCACTTAGGAGCAAGCATGAGCATTGTCAGCTCTGAGCTCTGATATGTGACTGATGCCTAATGCATTTAGGATGTGCGAGCTCATGGAAACTGAACATTCACAGAGTGCTGTCCACATTTAGTGTTGGGTCGCCTGGCAGTGATCAGGTTGCAGAATAAAAGTCAAAGCTCTTACTTGCTGTCCATCTTGATAGCTGTCTATACTTAACGTCTGTGTAGCCATCATGGTTGATGAGAGTTCACTTCAGATATCAGATCATCTTGAGTCAGAATTGGACGGTGTCTAGGAAAATAAATGCAGAAGAGCACCGGTTAACACTTTTCTTGGTATTTCTTGTCTTTTATCCCATAGCATCATGTAATTTCTAAAATCTGCATATTTTTATACAAAGAGGGACTCCAAGCCAAACCCTCCCTGGCAGCACTACACTCGCTTAGCAGTCGCTCTTCTTATGGTTCTGGGCCCCAACCTGCTATTAGACAGTCGGTCAACCACACTCCTCTATCCCCTAACAATGAGCCACAGTAAATACTGCCACACACAGGACTTTGGGTGGGGCTGTGGGACACCCGTAGCACAGATATTAGCCTAGAGAGGCCTGACTTTCCTTGGCTACACGCCAGTGGTGGGCAGAATAGGAGACTAGCAGGAGAGACACCAAAGGTACCACAGGACAGGAGCATGAGGAGAGGAGAGGTATTCGGGTGGTTCCCAGGATGTGTGGGCAGAGCAGGCCTCCCCAGGAAAGGGTCATCTAAGAAAGGCTGGGTAACCTGCAGACTGGGGAGGAAAGGAAGAAAGGGCCAGTGCAAAATGAAAATGATGTGCAGATGGCACAATGAGTAAGCAATGGTCATTTGCTTAATGATGACAGAAACACTCAAAATGATGTTGCTGAGCTGGAATGATGAGTGGGGATCCGGGGACGTTGCAGTGTGGCAGCATGGACCAGCCCCAGCTGGCCTAGAACAGCATGCAGGAGCTTGTCTAGATAGTCCCTCCAAGACCAAGGGCAGGCACATCACTTGTTCTGCACTAGCAGAACCAACTAAGGTCTGGCCACCAAGGGAAGTACAATTATACTCTAGACTGTAGAAAACAGAAGCACATACAGCTCAGCAGAGCAAGCCAAAGGCAGGAGAGATCAGCATGTCTTGAGACAGCTCAAAAAGGGTGTCTATCCCACCAACAGTGTAGCGGTAGTGACAGATGGGCCATCGCCTGATTACATGATAGCCCCTGGGGTTTCTCAGATGATGCCCACTATATCTTAAAAGTCAGAATAATGGGACCAAGGCCACAGAGCTGACCAAAAGGTGAGCTAGACTCACCTCAGCATCATCATTCTGAGGCTATCTCAGGTACCAGAGCTTTCCACAGGCCCAGGAGCTAGCACATGGAGAAGGAGCTAATATGGAAGTTCAATAGATGCTATGGGAACAAATGGCTTGGGCGTAGACTCAAACTGCTAACAAACACTGGCAAGTCAATGTTGGGAGTGATGAGGTACAAGGTTGGGATAGAAGATGATTGGGGGTAAGTAAGGCACCTTCGAGAAGAGGTCTGACCAGTGAAGTAGTAGTAGGCCACCTACCACCCTTGTGCAGAAGGAAGCCAGAGGACAAGACGGCTGAACAGAGTGGAGAAGATGGTAAGGATGCATCTGATCAGGCATGTTTGTGGCCACAGTGAGGACAAAAAGTCAGTGTACAGAAACCCGCAGCAGATGGGAGCAGTGGAGAACTCATGCTCTGACCACATGTACAGATCAGACTGCATGGCCCAGGGGCACCGGAGCCAAGGTGAATAGCTAGAGGCCCAAGAGTCAGAGGTGAGCCAGGGACCTGCAGGTGGACTAAGGGAGCAGGAATGGGTCCAAGCTTCCCACCTGAGCAGCTGGAAGAACAGAGCCGCAGGTCCCGAGATGAGCAAACAGCTAAAAACAGCTCCATGGCTTGGGAAGGAAACAAGGCAGGGCATCTCAGGCTGCAGACGAGTCTCAGATACCTTCTCGGACACTGAGCAGAGGAGCCTGGCTGGAATCACTTGGTCATCATCAGGGTACAGTGGGTACTCGTGGAGATGAGCTGAGTCCTCCACAAGACACGCCCACTCTAACCCAGCACCTGAACAAGGGCCAGATTTAGAAACAGGGTCTTACAGATGGAATGCCTCTGGACTTGAGATGGAGCAACTGACTGTGTAAGAGGAGAGGGAAGATCTGAGACACACAAAGAGGTTCACCGTGGGAAGATGGAGGCACACACTGCAGGAACACAACCTTATGCCCAGGAAGCCCACACAGGGTCACCAGACACTGGAAGAGGCAAGGACAGACCCCTAGAGCCTTCAGAGTGAGTGTAGCTCTGTCTACACCTTGATTGTTGATTTCCAGAGCCACGAGAAAACCCATTTCTGGGGGTGGGAGGGGTTAAATCCAGGGCCTTACACATGCTATGTTTAGTATACCCAGTTTGTGGTAATTTGGCACAGCAGGCCTGGTGAACAAATACACAAAAACGCACCATGTAATGCCAAGAGACTGGAGGGGACCAAAAGGAAGACAGAAGACAATGTGCTAGGAGATGGTCTGGAGGTCAGAGGACAAGAGGACACAGCACGACATGAGAAGCAGAACGTCTCAGGCTGCAGACGCGTCTCAGATACCTTCTCAGACACTGAGCAGAGGAGCCTGCACTGGAATCGCTTGGTCATCATCAGGGTACAGCAGGTATGCATGGAGAACTGCTTACACTACATAAAAGAGGGAGCCATGGTGGGGAGTACCAACCATGGTAAGGACTTCCTCAGGGTCAGGGAGAGAGGACTGAGTCAGCAGCTGGTCAACAGAAGGCCTGTGGGGGGCAAAACAAGAACCATGGCCCGAAACTCCACCACCCCCAGTGATAGTACTGGGCCGGCACACACTCCTAAGAGTGCAGGGAGAAAACTTTTTTCTTCTCTCTCTCTCTCTCTTGTTTTTTCCCCTCTCTCTCTCTCTCTCTCTCTCTCTCTCTCTCTCTCTCTCTCTCTCTCTCTCTCTCTCTCTCTCTCTCTCTCTCTGTCCCTCCCTCTGAGAGGCAGGGTCTCACTATGTAGCTTCCTAGAACTCACTTTGTAGACCAGGCTGCCTCTGGCTCCAAAGTGCAGGGATTAAAGCCATGCCCCACCCACCATGCCTAGCCTCTGAGTTAAAATCTTTAAAACCCTGTTAAGTCTGCTAAACCTGGATGCTCCACCTCACCCAAGACCCCATTCTGGACAGAGACCACACACCTACAGTTTTTTCCAGAGTATCTCTCTCCTAATGGCCTTTGCAGTGATTAAAGTCTGGCTCTCCTCCAAACCCTGACTTCTCTTCAGTTTGGCTTCCACCTGCCCTTCCACTCCCAGAGCCAGCACAGCACAGTTCCCTCAGACTTCTTTCTATCTCCATGTGGCTGCCCCAGCCCAGGTCTGGCTTGCTCCAAACCATTCTCCAGGCTTTCTAAAATGCAAATCTGGTCATGTGACTACCCTCATAATGTTGTCTCTAGCCAAGCCCATTCCTAGGCATCAGCCCACCTCCTTCCCCACTTCCCTACCAAGATTATTTATATGCCCTCAAACCAACCACCTGGTCGCCCTCCGCCTGCAGCCACCCTCTCCCACCACAGGTCCCACCCCTTGCTAGAAGCCCTATCTCCCCTTCTTTATGGTAGCTAACTAATGAGATTGCTTCCTATCATCCATCCCACCTTCCTCCTGGGTCTCGCCTAGGGAACAAGAAGCACCACAGACAGCCTGGGAAATAACGAAATTCAACCATCAGTAAAGGTTGAGATGCTTAAGATATAAAAGTGTGTTTTAAAGATCAATTTAATTATTCTAGTATGTATGTGTGTGTGTGTGTGCCTGCATGAGTTTATGTGCACCATGTAGCTAGAGCCCAAAGGATGCTGAATCTCCAGGAACTGGAATTCCAGAAGGCTGTGAAAAGCCAGTATTGAGCACCGGGAACTCAACTTGGGTCCTCTGCAAGAGCAGCAAGTGATCTCAACTACTAAACAATCTCTCCAGCCTTCTAAAAAGTTGTTGCTGCTTTGTGTTGTTTTTTGAGACAGGGTCTCTCTACATAGCCCTGGCTGTCCTGGAACTCATCATGTAGACCATACTGGACTAGAACTCAGAGATCTGCCCGACTTTGCCTTGGAGTACTTGAAATAAGGGTGTTCACCACCACACCCAGCCTCTTAGAAAAGTGTTTTAAACAATTTGCATTCAAACAATAGCTAAACTAAGGAGCCACTGACCTCTTCTAGAGGACCCAGGTTCAATTTCCAGCCCCCCACATGGCAGCTCACCACCACCCACAACTCTAATTCCAGGGGATCAGACCTTCTTCTAGCCTCCCTGGGCACTGCAGGTATTTAGTGCACATGTGTACACATGCAAGCAGACAATCATACACACAAAATAACATTAAAAAATAAATCAATCTAGTCAGATGTGGTGGCACACGCCTTTAATTCCAGCACTTAGGAGGCAGAGGCAAATGGTTCTCTGAGTTTGAGACTAGCCTGGAACACACAGTGAGTTCTAGGACATCCGGGGCTATATAGAGAAGCCTTGTTTCAAATGATGATGATAATGATGATAAAAATCCAAAAGCAAATAAATTAATTTTTAAAAATTTAAGTTCATGAGCTAAAATTTAACACCCAATTCCTATTAATGTTACTGGTCTTTGAGAAGCATCAGTTTCATGTAATGTCATAAAGGTAGGGACATATACTAGCTTTACTGACTGTACAAAAAAAAAAAAAAAACAAACTTTTTTTTTTTTTTTTTTAAATCCAGGCCCTGTGTAGCCCTGGATATCCTGAAACTCACTCTGTAGACCAGACTAGCCTCAAACTCAGAGATCCACCTGCCTCTGCTTCCCAAGTACCAGGATTAAAGGCACCATACAGAGGCAAGCAACCATGCTCTTGAATTTCCCAACTTTCAGAACTATGAGCCAAATAAACTGTTTGTTTATAAATTTCCTTCTCATGTGATATGTTAAAGCAATAGAAAACAAACTAAAAAAGTGGTGTGTAATAATTAAGAAATTTTCTTAAATTATTTCCTAGATTACAAGTTAAAATAGTTAAAATATATCAATGAATTACTGATTTTAGACATGGTTGTTGTGTTCAGTTAAAAGCAATGAGGCCCCCCCTTCCCCCCATCCAACCCTTTTGTGTTGCTGCTTATTTTGGCTTAAAGATGGTTATTTTACTATGTAGCCCAGGCTGGTCTCAAACTCATGAAGTACTTTTTCTGTCTCAGCCTCCTAAACAGAAGGGATGCACCATGTTGTCTAGTTAAGAAACTTACTAAAATGGCATAATTTTATAAAAATTAATGGTTTAATTAGTCATGATTTTGTAACATTTACAATAACTAAGATGGCTTGTATCTTTTCCTTATCCCAGTTGATGGACTGTCAGGCACTCCTTGTGGTAAGCAAAGCCTAGGACTGACCTCACACAGTTCACTCTTGGTGGACAGCTTAATAAAATCTGAGACTTATACAACTAGATTTACTTAATGGTTTTGTCTAGTCAGATAGTTAAGAGTATTATCAAGATTAGATTAACCAAACTTACTAGTATGATTCAAGAGGAGTGGTAATATTCGAGTTGTAATGAGAATGCTCATTAAAGAGTTTCAGGGCCAGTGAGATGTCTCGGCAAGTAAAATGCATGCCATATAAACTTTGCAACCTGAGCTCAACCCCTGGAGCACATATACAGGAAGGAGGGAAGAATTAACTCCCAAAAGCTGCCATTTCACCTCCACATGTTCACTTGTGGCATGTACACACACCCCATATCATACATATACAATAAAAAAATTAAAAGTAGCTAGAGGCTAGAGTTGAAGCTCAGTGGCAGAGCACTTGCTACTATGCCCAAGGCTGACCTTGTTCTCCAACCAAGAAACAGTACCTAATGAAATCAATCTGAGTTGCTCAAAAGCTATCTTGAAGATCAAAGTTAAAACTCATTGGGCCTGTGACAGCAACTTCAATGAATAACAATATTTTTGTTTGTTTGTTTGTTTGTTTGTTTTCAAGACAGATTCTCACTATGTAGCTCTAGCTGTTCTGGAACTCACTATGTAGACCAGGCTAGTCTTGGACTCAGAGACCACTTGCCTCTTGCCTCCCAAGTGCTGGAATTAAAGGCATTTACCTCATACCTAGCTCTATCAAATAATATTTTTAATTACTCAAAATCATTTAAAATTCATAGCAAGGTGAAAAGTTTCTGCACCCTGATAAGCCTCTCGGCCGATGCAACAATTCAAATCAAACCGAATTAGAAAAAGCCTATTTTTAATGGATTCAATGTTCTTGGATAATTTTCCAGTCCCCCCCCCCTAAAGAGGAGACAGAAAAAAGACTGGAAAACCACATGTCTGTTATCTGGGGGACAGTTTAAATAAATACCCTGTGGTAGTGGTCTTGAGCATCTCTGGGGGAGGGTGGTCATCATTTGGTGGGTTTTCTGAGATGCAGCAGGGTTTGGAGAGAGAAGCAGGAGAGGACTTGGAGTGTAGCTTCCAGACTCTGGGTATATGGATGCCAGGGGCTGGGGTGATGCTTCCACCAGAACACAAGGTTCTGGTGGTTTCACTTAGTGGTAGAACACATGCTCACAAGTCTGCATGCATGCTTACAAGTCTTACAAATCTGCTTGCATGTTTGAGGCTCAGGATTTAGTCCCCAGAATCAAAACCAAACTAAATCCAACAGCAGTGTGAATGAGTTTGCAGCAGTGAGTGGGGAAGGCAGGGGTGCAGCCTGCATGTCATTCCCTGCTCAATTCATTCCCTCTACATATTTACTATTGGGGAGGGGGTGTTTCTCCCTCCTGGGACCTGTCCCAAGTGCAGGGATGGATCAGTAAACGAAGTTGATACCACACAGAAATCACTTTATAACTGTTGTAATAGACTTACGAGTGACTCAGGGAGGACAGGGGTCTTTAAATACCAAGTCAACCACCCAGAGAGCACAGGATCCTTTTTCTTTCTTTTTAAAAAAGATTTATTTATTGTGTATATAGTGTTCTGTCTGCATGTACACCTGCACTCCAGAAGAGGGCACCAGATCTCATTACAGATGGCTGTGAGCCACCAAGTGGTTGCTGGGAATTGAACTCAGGACCTCTAGAGACGCAGCCAGGGCTGAGCTATCGCTCCAGCTCTTTAGAGCTCCTCTTAGGCTATAAGGGTGACCCCTTGATTTTATGAGCAACCTTCCTAAGGCTGTAAGGAAGCTAGCTTCCCTGATTCCATATAACCCACTAATTCTGTGGGTTATTCCCTTCAAGACTGTAAAAAAAAAAGCCCCATAAGGCTATAACGAAGCTCCAAGTCACATGGAACCTCTGCAGGTTAAGGGCTCTAGCCAACATCCCCTCCTCACATTACAGCTGACAGCTATACCTGGAAGATTTTAAAAACATCCCTAGCTGAGTGTGATGGGATGCACTCAGGAGGCAGGGACAGGAGGATCTCTGTGAGGCCAGCCTGGTCTTACATGGTAATTTCCAGGACAGTCAGAACTACATTGAGAGACCCTGGAAGAAAGATGACAACAGAGGAGGAGGAAAAGGAAGATGATGAAGGGTGTAACACAAAAAATAAATGACCCAGAGACCGATATTGGGGTTCAAACTTCAAGCTGAATGTCAGAAAAGCAAAACAGCTGGCCACTAGCTTCTTACTTCTACCTCAGGCTGAATGGGCTGATTCTGTTTCCACAAGTTCTCACCAAGCCTCAGACTGTAACCGCTCCTCAGTGTGGCTGGAAAATGAATGC